CACAAGACACATGCTTGATTTATCTCTAAAAATCAACATTCTGAATTATTACTTATTCATCGCTAGATGAAGTTCCCTTTTTTTTTTTTTTTTTTTTTTAGACATACACAAGATGTTAAAATACGTTAAAAAATATGGATTTGAATAAAGTAGAACTCTTCCGTAATCGATTATTTTTACTACTGTAAATATTTAATCTATAATGTTTTATAAACAAAATTACACAATAAGGATAACAAAATAATCGCAATTTCGATAATTAGTTCTGCAAATGTTTTATCCGGGACCCTCATCTTCATTGCACGCAAACATACAAGTAGCCCCGCTGTTATCTAGAGCATACTTAGGATACAAGACAACACGGGTATTTTAGAAATCACATCTTCTCTTCTTTCGTTCAAAGGTTGTCCAAAAAGGAGAGAAAATGTAACGGTGAAAGTCGCTAAGACTTAAGGACAGATGATAATCCACGAGGTCTTACAAAGATAGCTTAAGTGGCTGAGAGATTAACACGCCATTTTGAACTTTTTAGAATAGACATCACTGTTGCGTTTTAAAGAGATTGCCAAATTTGCTGTTTGTACGTCACAACGTCAAGTGTCTGAATGACCAGGAATCATATTTTGAAAAGTTTGTACCTACTTGAGTGTTCTATATTTTTTTTAATCAAAACATCGTTATTCTCACCCTTTTGAACAATACACGTATCTGCGTTATTAAATTCATTGCCATTTCACTGAAAACAATTCAAAATAGAACTCTGACACAGCTTTCCTCTTTTACATTTTGATTGAGCACATGTCTCACGAAGTTTTTATTTTTTTGGACTTTACAAGAATCTTGCTTTACTGTTTAGAAAATAAGTTTCATTCCAAGAACAGGCAACACCAAAAACAGGTTATCAAATATAAAGAGATTTGAAGGCAAGACCTAAATAAATCGAATGCAATAAAGCTACAAGATGATTTGTGTATGCTGCATAAATACAAGGAATATATATGGAATGTCGTATATGTTCTTTCGTATATGATCTCTATCAACGTTAAGACATAATATAATATGAATATCTAACACAACATTTCAAAAATTGAACTTGCAGACTTCTACAACATGATTGACCTTCAATATACCAACTAAAACACTTCTGATGTATACTTTAAATAATTCTTAATTCATTAATTCAATTTTTTTTAGACGTTTATTCCAATTTTCTGGTGTGAAAAGAAAAAAATATTGAAATATAAATGCAAAAAATTAAGAACTTTTGCGATTTTTTTTTTTTTTTTTCGAAACAAAGATCATTTTAACAAAGTTTCGCCTCAAAACATCTAAGTCGGGTGTGAAAGGAGGGGGTGAACCTGACAGGGAGGGAAGATGCATCTGATATTTCATGATTTTTATTGCACAAACATGTTTAAAAAGTTGCAAGTTTGTAAAATATTCAAATACATGACGAAAAATTAAGTTATTTCAAAAGTTGTACTAATCTGAAATTTGTCGTAAGTCTGTTCTAGGTTTATGATCTTGAGACCAAGCTTTAGTACCATTTATTAAAAAATAAAACAAACAACAAACAAAAAACAGGTCAGCTGGAGTCAGCAGTATAAACTAGTAACTTTAATTTGTGTAAAGAAGTGGAATTGTTTGCATCTTTGAGGAGGTCATAATATTTCATCGAAGCAATGATAGATGAAGTCAAATGAACTTGATGGACATGGTGTCAGACTCCAAGATAGAAAATGTAATGAAAGATATGTGAAACGGAAGTAAGCTTTTCAATGACACTGATTGGTCTTGTCCGGGAGACACTAAAGAGTGGGCCATTGAGCTCGAGTAGAAAAGCATACTGGCTTTTCATCGGGGAGATAAGACTGGATTAAAGGAAAGCAGGAAAGAATAGGGAGACTTATCCCTGTGTGTTATCACCGGCCCTCTGTTCATTCTAACCAAACTTGGTGCCATACCGTTTGAGCGATATTCCGCCATAAATTTACCGATAAGTCCTGTCACGTCCATATATGAAAATTTGGTATGGTACATTGTTCAAGCATGAGTCATTTTTTGTTGGTTAAAAATCTTTTATTCCATCCGGAAAATAAGGATTAAAATAAAAATAAAATAAATTCCTCAAGAACACAAAAATTAAATTATTTTTACTGGTAAAAAACGTCATTTTATATATATATATATATATATATATATATATATATATATATATATATATATATATATATATATATATATATATATATATATATATATATATATAAACTCTTCTCAATTAAGAAATACAATGTACCGCACTTTAACTTTATTTACTATAGACTCTAAATGATAATATAAAAGGACTCCTTTTTTTACTGTTAATGTAGCAATAGAGCCTATTTGTGTTGGATTGATGAAAAATAAATGAAAAAGAAAGCTGGATGTAATCTTTGTATATCCCACCAAATATCATTCCTAGCATTTCAAAACTTTCAGATTTAAAATTGGCCAGATCAATGCGTTTTATGTTCTACATGTTATAAGACAAGATTTAGTGAGGCCTGTTTTTCAAAACCTCGATAAACTTCATAGGATTTATAAATCGAATTGAGGGCTTATTCAAAAATGCATAAAAATGGTTGTGTTGTTCAATTTTCACATGACACCTTTCTTGAAGACCTAGTCGTTAGTATATAGTGTTAATTTCCTTTTTTACATTGTAACTGTAACTGTCCTCCAAATAAATGACTTTAAAAAGTTCAAAAGGCAGGGAGGGAACATTCGAGCTACTACACAGCTCTGTATATACACAGAAATCTTTTTATCAAAGATTAAAAATTATATATATTTAATTTTTTTTACTGCTTGATATCATATGATATCTTGTATTTCAACTTTCTCATTTTTATGGGAAAAACCATTTCAAAAATGATGAAGGTTTCGATAGATATACGATTTCTCCTAAGAACAATGTAAAGCTACACATAATTTTTCCTGTAATATATTCATATAATATATATATATATATATATATATATATATATATATATATATATATATATATATCTATATATCTATATATCTATATATATATCTATATCTGATTCCTATGCATAATATGTCTACTGCGTGTAAATAATCACTCCTTTAGAAAAAAACCCACCAAATTTAGTAATTTACGATATGCATAGCATGCAAAAAAAGCCGTGCTTTACTTGTGTAATAAATGTCTAACGAATACAAAGCAGTCTTTCTGTGTTTTGGACGGTCATGTACTACACTAACTATTTCTATTCAGGCAAAATCAGGGGCGCAAATACTGTACAACTGTTATAGGATAAGGTACTTAAATATAGTATCACAGTACACAATAAGTAGAGTGTATTCAGGTGTTCTTTGTAGAGTCGAGTTAGAACTTGTAAAAGAAGCATGCAGTTTCTAGTGCATCGATTAGTTCACTCACAACCAGGCGCAAAGACACAGGAAAGATATCTTCAAGTGTGCGACACCAAATCTATAAAAACCTCTAACCTTTCAGTTTTGATAAATTGCACATCGATGCCAAGTGTAGAAGTGCCATGCTGCGAGTCCAAATATAAGTTCTGGACGTGAGCAAAATTTCACATATATAACACACAGTTGGAAACACGTTAGAAAATGTGGTTGCAGTATTGATATAGCTTGGGTGTTTGAAACATTTGGCTAAGCGCGCGCCTCTGACTGTTAAACTGACGATAGAAGTACAGTATGCGAGAGATATTGAAATATATCGTCAATTGGTCTTATCTGTTTATCAATACCTGTTGACTACCCTTAAGAACGAACTGCTTTGAAAACTTTGACGTGAAGAGGGCACTCTAGGAATGATTTCTGGAGCATATTTTGGCAAAAATAAACAGCTTGGTTTATCTGTTTGTTTTTTCTTGTCGACTTTTATCTACAGATGAAGACGTAGATTTTAAATATTTCATAACATTTCTCAATCGATGAAAAGTTTTTTTTCGATTGTGAATGATGAAAGCGGAAAACAAACGCCTTTTCTAACGATATCATTATTGTTCCTATTTGCTTTGTTTATTCCCTGAACAGTGGTGTATTTCCCCCTTGCATTATTTGCCAACATTAAACAAATCTTTTATTTCTATACATCGTGGAAATTATTTCCTCTTTTAAGTTATTTATTTGTTTTTGTAATCTGTTCATATCATTAAGGCAGTACAAATGTTAAACACGAATAATTCTTGACCTAGACGTCTGACATTCTGAGTTTAATTTTATGCTTGACTATTCAGTGATTTTGACATAAAGTTTCTGGTTATTAATTCATAAATTCAAAATATTACTGTTTATCAATACCCAGTTTTCACAATATAATCCCACAATGCCAATACTTTAAGGACCCCTCCAAAGAGTTTTTTTTTATTTATTAGTAATAATTTCTGTCCTCTGTGACAGAAGGAAAAAAAACCCTTTAAATATTGTGTTTTGCAGATAGTGAAAATAACTGGAAATAGGGTTTATACACTAAGATAAAGCTAACAATAGAGCTAACAGTCTAAACACGAATATAGACTCGTGCAGTGCGCAGTGCCTCCGGAGGGTAGGGTTCGTGCATGTCTGAAACAAATACTCCTCACAACACGAATAATATCCGATTGTGTAAAATTTTGAAATAAGAGAGGTCCTTATCAAATCGTGGGCACTAGTTATCAATACGACTGATGGAATTTATGAATCAAAAATAAAAACACGTGTCACTTAGAGGCTTAAAGTATATTATAGAATGTAACACATTTTGTACAAACATATTTATCTAAACTGAAATCAATGAACAACTGTTAAAATCGTTGTTTCATTTTTTCAAATAGTGCTTCAAAAATAATTTTGCTCAGAAATAAATCATGAGCGCTGCTATTGTTTGGTTTTTATGTTATAGATTCGTGTGTCTGAAGGGATTAAAGCCATTTGTATGAAATATCTATAAGCTCTGCCTTGGTTTCCCGTGTTTTACTTACCACTGCAGGGTCATACCAGTCTGCTTCTTTTTGTCCCTCATGATTTGTGCAACAGTCTTCTTCTGTGGTTGACTGCCGAGACCTTCCGAAGAAGCCTCTTGGTTTCCCGTTTTGTCGTCATCTCCTACAACGCTTTCGTCATCAGTAAAAACAGGACTGTCGTCTGTATCCGGTTCTGAAAATTAAAAATAAATGTAATTAAAAACCAGACCAAAAAAAAAAAAAAAACAAAACAAACAAACAACCAAAAACAAACACCCAAAAAAAAAAACCCCAAACAAAACAACTTAGTGTTGTGCTTGATTTAATTAATTTTTATATCACAGCGAATGCGAAAGTATTGGATACAAGAATTCTATTCATGAACATATACTCATTCATTTACTTCAACATAAATACTACATCATTTGACAAGTTTGTATGTTATCTACTCTCTGTTGTGAATCTACAAGATTATCTTATTTGTTAAAAAAAAGAAATGTCTAGATCGAAACACCGCACAGTTTCTAACAGAAACCCTATCTGTATACTGCTAGAAGGTATCCAAAAAATGTCTCGTTTTTGATATCGACTATAAGTGACCGACAGTGGACAGACTGATTGCTGTGTTTGTTTACTGGGACAATTTGGGAATTTGGCCATAGGAAATTAACATATTGCTGAAGCCATGTTGAGTTTGAATAACAGTTCGATCATATCCATTAACAACATCTAAAACTTCTATGAAATGATGGTTCCACACCCACCGAAAATTCTTTGTGTTCTTTCGTGTTTGTCTAAGATGTAACCAGTAAAACTTATTGGAGGTCTTGCCCGTATCTTGACGATATTTTGTCACAAAAATTATTTCTGACAAATATATTTGGTAATATAACAAAGGGTTCGTGAAGTGTTTTCTACTATGAAAGTCATGAAAACATGAAAACAATCACGTATACTTTAACCATTCTGCTGTTTGAAAATCTTAGCTTTTATAATCAGTTATAGCAATCAACGTATTTTCTTTTTTATTTTTATTCATTTATCTGTCACGAATGCAGACTTGGGTAAGTAAAAATATTGATTGTTGTGTTTTGATATTTCATGTTTCAAACAACTCTTCTACTCTTTGCAGATACAATTGAAGATGAGAGTTTAGACGTTAAATGATAAGAACCTTCAAATCAATTCAAAAACTCCAATTTTATTTGTCAAAAGTTTAATTTTCTGACAGCATGACATCTATACCTTTCTCCGTTACCTCTCTCTCTCTCTCTCTCTCTCTCTGATTTCGAAGGATTGTTAAGCATCATTTCGATAACAATTACTTTTGAAAGATGTGTTTTGCAATGCATTAATAATAACCCTTCTTTGTTCTCTAATTTATGTGTGGATTAAATCATCGCAGATTCCATTAAAAGGAACATAGATTATGTATATTATAACTTTTCTATCTCTCCTATTTTATAAAATAGCACATAATAATATAAATAAAACAATTTCCAGAGTTATTTCTGTGTTTATTTATTTATTTTTATTCACTTATCCTAAAAAATGATTTTTTCTTAAACTTTACAACTTAAATTTCTCTAAATTAAAAAAAAACCACCCTATTACCCGACTACATTGACGAAAAAAAAATAAAATAAAATAAAACAGGGCAAAATAATTAAAAACAAATACAAAGTATCTTTGCTAGTAAGATGCATGGTGACACAATCTAAATCCATGTTCATTCCCGTGTCTTTCACTATCGCAATGGATCTAAAGCCACAGACAAACAGTCGTGTCCGTTAGCTGGTGTTTGTCCGGAGATAAAGTCCGTAAGAGCTTTTGTTGGGTCTTCACTGAGACCCTATAATACCCCTTCTATCTTTTAATCCAGTTTGCACAATTGCGTTGGCTGAGGTTTTCGACAAGACGGGACTGTGACACATACGTACAAGTAAAGCCTGCGTGGATTTTGGGGTCTTATACTGGATGTGTGTCAGTGCACCGTAATTATAGCACGCCAGACTGCTAAATATTATGTTGAATTATTTTTATGATAATTATTATAGTATAATTTTAAAGAAAAATATTTCCTCAATTAGTGGAATACTCAAGATTTACAGCGATGTTTGAAAAAAAAAGTAGGATCGTAACTGTCAACTGACCACCAAGGATCAGTTCCAATTAGAACAGAAGGAAATATGATTAATATGGCAGAGGAGGGTTAACAATTAAAGCTCCCATTCCCAAAAAGAAAGTTCAAATTAAACACAGAATCGCTCGTTCTTATCAAATTGTCGATGGCGGCCACTCTGGGATTTGACACTCGATAAAAACTGCTGAAATCTGGCTTAAATTAAAAATCGTTATCAAAAGCGATCTCTGTAGCCTTTCTGCCTGTTTGGTATGTGCATATTGATCGGGAGCGTAGGGGTTAAAACCCAACCTTATATTTCTGAAATTTAATTATGGCTAGAAAGTACAGCCCTCTCCTCTATTTTCAAATTTATATGTTATGGCCACTGGAAAGAATATATTAATAGGGTTTTGATGCAGTTGAATATACAGTGCTACATTACCATCAGTAAAGCTAAAATTTGCAAAATGAACATTTTGAAATTTAAAAAAAAAATGTAATTCAAAATAAACACTTTTTTATTCTTCAGTTATAAATTGAAAAGTATTTTTAACTAAAATACTGACGATCAAAATCAATTATTTTATTATGAAGAATTCATCATTGTTTACACATATAATGTAGCCACTCTACATTTTTAATACAGATAACCACTAAAATTGTCATCATTTTCTGATTACAATTACACGATAAAAATCTATAATCTGCGATTTAACAAACGATTAATAAACGATCCGACCATTACATAACAGCTATGGTATCATAAAGGGCGTACCAGTGACACCTGTTGTTTTAGTAATAAATGTGCCACAGCAGGGGACCGGGGATTATTGAACATAATAAAAGAAATACACAATAAATATAGCATAGGAGAAACTTTTAATTATAAAACATCTTCTCTGTGTATATTATATTTGGTACTTTTATGCATGCATGTATTGTACACACAAATCCTTCCCCTTGTACGATATGGTATTTCACAATGATAAAGTATTTATCATAACATAGAACAAGCATCGATTACCTCGAAAATACGTGAGTGATCTAATGTATTTATTTTTGCAGTTTTTTTCGGAAGGTCATAAATTAGTAAAGAGGGCATGGGAACTCCTAAAATGATATCTGAAATTGAAATGATATTTTGATCCTAAAAGGGGATCCTAACAGGGCTGATATTTTCAACTAAATTCAACACATTTATTAAGAGTATCGTATTTTTCTTTCTTTCTTTTTTTTTAATTAAAATATAAATTCTCGATTTTTCCCCAGTAATATTATAACAGAAAATTTTAAATACTTTTACAATAGAAGTACAAAATACAAGTTTTTTTTAAAAAAGCATAAAAACAGAATCCCTTATTTACCCTCTCCTCCCGTTCGCACTTGAGTTTTTCATTTCTCATATTGACTGCTTTTTCAGAACTGTAAACATGGACGGAAATTGAAACTCTTGATTATCAAAATTCATAACACAACTCCATTATTTAAGGGATATTGTGCCAATTTTTCTCAAAATAAAACCATTGAAAATAAAACATTTAAATGTTACGTAAATTGAAACAGACCCAAATCCTAATATTTTCATTCATACGCAGGACTTTCTCAAACTCTGTACTACTGTTTAGGTAAGTTTGTTTCAGCGTAAAACGAAAAGAACTCAAACATAGTAAAGTTTCACGAAAACATGGGAAAAGGATCATTTTTAATGATTTTTTGCGAAGAAACTTCGTGTCAATCATTAGCATTTGAATAATGTCACAGCTGTGTTTTGTCGGCGATTAGTAAAACCGGTGCCCTCTAATCCAGACACAGATGGACCAACCCTTTTTACTGATAATTTTATTCAATCATGCTTTTTCTTTCTTAAAAAAAAAATAAAAAATCGCCTAAATTATCCACATTTCTATTAACATTCAAAGAGTAACATTGTCCATAATCATTTTGTTTCTGAAATACACGATCTTGTATACATTATGAAGTACATTTTCAAATTTGAAAAATTGAAAATTGTAGTAAAGTAATAGGTCCTAGTTTTTCAATCTTTATTCAAGTATACCCTGATTTAACATAAGTTATGTAATAATGTAAAATGACCTTGTCTTTAATGGTATAACATACATCACTGTGCTTAAACTCAGGCGACCCCTGAAATCAATTATGCTTGTGGAGTGAATTATTATTTTCTTTTTCACTTGAAAACACTCCATTTGATGGATGACTTTATTCTTCATTCTAAATACGGTATAGCCACAAAATGCTCTGGCAGTCCGCAACCGCGCTGCTTTTTAAGTTTGCTTTCACATTAAATGATTGCAGCCTAATATTTACAAAGAAGTACTATACAAACATGACAAGACAAAAATAAACTGCTAAATTCTTAAGATCAAGACTTTTCGTCTAGTCGCATTTACACGGTATAAATATATTATTGTTTCTAAACTTTCCCAAATACCCCAGTTTTAACACATCATTCTCTTTTGAAACTTTTCATTTTTAATAAAAATTTTTAGGCAAAATACTAAATATATAATTAGTTTTGCAACATCTGTAATACCCGTTTTAACCTTAACGATTTAGCGACCTTTCTTCTATATATTTTTTAGTTTTTGTAAAAGTAATTTTACATCGTTTTTTACAAGGATAAACTTTGTTTAATACGTCCTCGGTAATATTTTGAAAAACAAACATATTTCAATTTAAAAGGCCCTATAAATCTTGGCCATTTGGTACATTTTTTATAATTTACAAGCGCTTTATCATATGAATTCTGATTTACAGCCTTCTTCAAATCTTTATTAGTTTACAATATCTTTTGTAAACGTAAAATAAAGATGTCTCAAGACCTGATTGGAATTCAATTTTACAGTCCGGTTTCCATGTATTCATAAATCATATCCGGCCGAAACTTCAAATAAAATATTGTCAAATTGTGTGAAACGTGGCTCTTACGCCATTGAACACAATAAAACAAAAAGGTTGTAATTTACGCAACATTTAAACCAAACAAGTCAATAATGAGACGGTTATAGAGTACAAAAAATGTCTGTCAGTGAGTTCACAAGTGGTCTGGCCCACCAAAGCAGCCCAGGAATGGGGAATCCATTCTGAAACCGATCTATCACTGTTTGGGATATTTCGGAATGTAAATATTTTCATTCACAAATTCAAATACAAGATCACTACTTCTATGTTATTCCATCAATGTTTATAGTAAGCAATATTTTTTTGAAAAAGGGACATCAAAATTATTATTTTTATCGCATTATCAAAATTTTTTCCGTGTAAAATCACTTTTTGCATTGCTGACTTGCAGATTATTATCAGAGAACCCTTTTTTCCCTTCCGATCAGCTGTTTGGTCATCTATCTATGTGTGATTTTGTATCTTTTCATTACTTAAACCACACACAACTTTAAGAAACAAGTATTATCTTTAGAAGAAAGACCCTTGTCATGTATGCACAGCAATGAGCAGTACGGCTAGGATAAGAAATCTGTTACCTGATTTAAGACTCGATTTGGGATGTTTTCTTGTTTTTGGACGAACGGCTTCCAAATCGGGCGTGGGAGCTGGAGAAATATCAACCGATGATTCTTTGTCAGTTTCTAAACTGCCTTCTCGACACAAACGTTTAGCGGAAGTTGGCATACTGTCCATATGTATGTCTATCAACATTTGGGAAATTCAGAGCTATATATGGATATTAAAAATTTATGTGTCACCAAAGAAGTCCATTCCGCTGCAAGTGTTTGTACCAAAGTGTTCTCCACAAGTGTATCACAGAAATCGTATTGCTTTTAGAAAGTTTTGAGATGAAAGACAAAACAAATTATAAAAATGTGAAAACTTAAAACATTCATTCGAATTTTCTCTGCTGAATTCCGATAACGGCAGATGTTCCTGATTAAACATAAAATGCATAAAACAAAAAAGGCTTATCAATATCTGTTAAGTTTTTGTCTGATAAAAAAGGCCGGGTAATATTGCACAGGTAAACTCCACGTGAATATTATTAGCAATGGATCACTTTTAAAACTTAACAGTCGCACCAAGACATCAGCTGCAGTTTTCCGTCATATAGCGAATACAGAAAATGTCCCAAAGTGGAATGGCTTCAGCTTACATTATCACAGAACACAAATAAATCAAAGAAAAATCACCAGATTTACCGTAGGTATCGATCATATTATGACGTATTAACCACGTGACACCAAGAAAAAAGATAAGCAGTTTTAGTAATACCCGGGGTCTTATCTTCTCCTCTATCCCTCCCATTTAAGATAAGAAAAAGAAAACAAACTTTCTGTCCGAGCTAATTTCCCTCTAAAACGGGGTTAAATGAAGTGACAGGCTCCAAACCCTTACACTTAAATGTAGGACGTGAGGGTCTTATTAAACCAAATATACTGTCATAACTGTAAATTTCCTGTTACTCTTTAAGAAGACTGTTGGAGGTCTTTTAATTTTTATACAAATAAACTGAGGGCTGTGTCATGGGGAAGTCAATATTCTGGACTCAAATGTCCGAGGTACTTCTCTGTACATCACTGATATTCCACAACCAGAGAATTCTTCCTGATCCTACGTTAGATGTTAGAAATACTGTTCACTTGAAATGTCCAGATGAACAACTGGATCACTTATTTCCAGGACTATTTAGACTAAGTCATTCTAGTCTGTGTGATCCTGGTCGGAAAAAAAATATTAAAAAGGAATATGCTTGGAATATTGTATTTATTAGAATACTCTATTGTAAAATACATGTATAGCAATTTTTGAGTATAAGATAGGCAGTGTTTTTATTGTCCATCTTTTAAATGTATATGCTTCGATTTTAAAAGATGCTTTAGAAAATCACAATAAAATATTCCTCCTTGCTCAGGATCAGCACAACCCTTTTCCATAATATTTTTTTTTTATATTTGAAATTAGAAATGTTTCATGTAGTATAATACCTTTTTTTCTTCTGTAAAGTTCTCTCTCTCTCTCTCTCTCTCTCTCTCTCTCTCTCTCTAGTGCTCATGTACTATGTTTTAACTTTTGAATTCATTGATAAGTGTAGTTTCCGTAGTTTCCCTTTTCCAGTCCATTATTAATAAGAGCAGTTGAATATGAAAATGATGCATCAACACTCAAATGTCAACGTGGTCTACAGAGTCAATGTTGACACTGAAATTTGATGTGACCTGCAGTTTTCAAGGTGAATGTTTGCATATCCCTTTCCCTGGTGGTACTTGTAATTCTATTAGGAGATTTCTTCAAACATTTTAATGCACATGACCGCGCAGTAGTTCAAAAAGGTCACTTGATGCGTGTTGATTCCTTCAAAAATGAAGACATCAAGATCAGTTATATATGTACATAATATTCTGGGAGTTGTACACATGAATTGCTGGCAAATTCAAGGGGAAAATAGTAAATGTGAAAATTCATTTGTCAAATCTGGAGAAAAAATTCGGTAAATTGTCCTTAAAAAAAAAAAACATACAAGAACTGGTAAAAACCATTTAATTGTACATTTAATGAAAATACGATAATGGATCTATATTATGAGAAAAGTTAGTATTCTAGAGTAGCTAGTGCATGAATGGGATTTTACAGTAAAAAAAATTATTAAAATCTCCATTTCTTATCTATTTAATTTTAATATAACGTGAATAAACAATCACACCAATGAACCATAGTTATCTCTTGTAATTAAATGCGCTTTTTTTTTTATACAGGAAAGCAGTCTTATCTTATCTTTAAGAACACTACACTTTTTTTTCAAAGCTTGGGCTAGATAAATTCATGTTATCCCCCCCCCCCCCCCCCGTGCTTTAGCGAAAGCCAGAGGACATGAAATCTTCTTCGTCTGTCAGGTCGTCTGTCGCAAAAAACTTTAACTTGGTCATAACTTTAGATTGAAAAAAGATATTAAGGACTGTCATATTTAAAACCTGTGACAAGATTTTTCTAAATGTTCTATGGTTTTTGATCCCATGACTTAACCTTGAAGTGTGACATACTTTTCACAAATTGTAACACTGGTTATAACTTTTGAATGAGAGAAGATATGGTAATTGACACGTGCATTATCTGTGACAAGACCTTCCAAATACACTATGATTTTTAACCCCATCACCTTGTCTCTAAATTTTGACCTAATTTTCAAAAAAATTAACATTGGTAACTTTTGAATGAGAAAAATGGGACTTGCATTTCCTGTGACAACACCTTAGAAAGAATTATCAATTTTGACTTCATGTCCTTGACCTAGAAGTTTGACCTACTTATCTAAAATTTAACTTTGGTCGTAAGAGACAGGGCTTTCATATTTTTTTTCACATGTGCATTACTTGTGAAAAGACCTTTCTGATTGTACTAAGACATTTGACCCCATGATCTTGAAGATTGATGCACTTAATCTTGGCCGCAATTTGTATTAATTCAAAAATTCAAATCTTTTTGGAATGGTGTAAAAAGACCGGACACACAGACAAGACATTTACAATATGCAAGAAATATTTGCAACACAACCATAAAGACACCGAAAGCGGAGGACCACAATTCTTTGTTTAATTTCAAATACAACGTTTTCTGTGCATGAACATGTATTTTTGAAGACAAATAAGGGAAATTAACAATGTCTACCTGTATTAGATAAGCTGCACAAATGACAAGAACTGTTTTAATTCTTTTTTGAAGTACGTCCATGAATATGGAAACAATAAATTGGTGATGACGACATGAGCAGATTGCGAAACATATGCACTTAAAATGTTTGATGTGATCAGTCTTTAAATTAAATAATCTGCTCTTTAAACGAAGAATTAGGGCAGACATATACAGTGTATCACTGAAAATTACCTACCAACTGAAAATCAGCATTCACCTAGTTATTTTTAAAACATCTCAAATTATTCTATACGTGAAATTAAGGAGATGTGGGTAATTTCGAGGTTTAATCATGTATTCTAAGAAGTTATCCGCCCTATAAACACCCGATAAAATAAAAACTCATTGTTTACATTTATATTTTAAAAATATTCCTTTGAACTGTTCCCATCCCATCCTGGTTATTTCCTTATCAAGATGTTTTATTTTAGTATAAGCCACTCCCATTGATGTCATTTATATCTCGTTATGAGGGTATAACCTAAGATTTTCCTGGCATGATTATTTTTGACAAATTTTTGGCAATTACAAATACATTGTATAGCCACAAAGGTTACTGCCCACCAATCATTTTTCAATTTCAATTTCAAAAAGTGTAGGTCAATTCAGTGACGATACTGAAAACATTTCATTTATTTATTTATTAGTTTAATTTTAAAGGTGAGATCATAATCAACTTGCTCATTAAACAAGGAATCATTTATTGTTGTTTACCAATGATTAATTCAAACGTCAAGGACTTGCAAGAAGAACTTCATTGGTGTACATGTATTATAATTTATTACCCGTTAAATTGTGTACATATACATGTATTATTATTAAGTAAATAATCTAACACTGCTTAATTTGTGTGTGAAGCTACTTACACTCTGGTTAACGTTATAATATAGGACATCCTTTGTAAAGATGTTGTTCACACCAATCTCAAGGTCAAAGGCCAAGGTAATCTTTGAAACATTTCATCTTAATGTGTGAAGTTTGAGGATGATGATCAGAAATGTTCATCCTCATTAGCGATTTTTTAAATCAAGTTATAGAAGAAAAAAAATATCAGCATGACTGACTCTAGGGAGATCAGATGCTGAATGATTATGATTACTAGAATACATCCCCACCACAAGGATTTATTTTTGATTACAAACGTATTTACAAATCTTTCCTGATTTAACTATATGTGAAGTTTGAAGTTTATAATATGTATAAGTACCATCAACACAGTAAAACAAAGCACTCTAGATTCCTTATTTTTTCTTAATTAGATGCGAAATAACCCATGTCAAATGGCGGGAACATGAGTTCGGGATGAGACTGTTGGTCTAGAGTTTTTACATATATTTCTGCAATATAAAAATAAAAGCAAGTAATTTTATTTCGCGCATGGTGCTTCTCGCGAAATTACGCGTATTTTTAGGAATTTACAGTAATCAAGCAAAGTTGTTTGCGAAGACAGACATTATGTGTTAGTAATGAATTAGGTACATGTAAACAAGAATAGATATGGGTTACCCCCATATCCAAGATATTCGACTTTCAATTTATTCGAATTTTCATTGTGCTCAGATGATTTCTCATAAAAAAAACAAGTATTTACTGACAAATCGATACTCAAGCTGCAGAAAGTCAACTATAAAAGTGCCATAAATATCCTAAAGTGACATAATATTTAGGCTACTGAGTTTCAACATCTTTTGTTGAATAAAAATATGCATGTACTAGGAAACAAACTGCATGAACATATAACGTTACATGTATGTAGTGACTTTATCACAAAGTTGCACATGCCTAAAAATAGTTTTAATTTCACATAGAACATAGACTAAATATAATTAATAGTATAATTTTAAAAATGTATTTAACACCTCACTCATTTTCAGGAATATTTAATCCAAACAGCATGTTACAGGCCTGTAGCAACGTTTTCAAAGTGAAGGGGGGGGGGGCTCCGAAAAAATCCCGCGTACTATGGGCCTGTGCTACATGTGTACCATCTAACTTTCCAAATTATAGAATCTTCTGTAAACAAGTCCAAGCCGCTATGGATTATCAAAGATAGCCCAATTTTTTTTTTTTAAATAGCAGAACTATAGATCTATCAAGGATATATTTTAATTTATTTTTTAATTTTGTGCTATTTAAGTACAATCACTCAAAGTAAAGGCAGATGTTAAAGATGGGTCAACCTGTCACCTTTTAGAGTAATCAATGAACTCGTCCAGAGACGGCCGTTGTTAAACACAAAGGAAAGCTCGAGATCGGTTGCGGCTGTGGAGCATCACTGAATATTCCTTCGTCATAAAATAGAATCCGACATTTAACACTTAATATAGATTTTGATAATGCAGACGTTTTGAAGATAAACTTCATTTTTGTTTCTAGAAATGTTTTTCTTTACAGAAATAGTATATTTCCAGTTTTTAAACTGAGTAGATCGATGACCTAGCATCGTTTTTAAATAGATAACTCAGCCCCTCTAGCCCAGTCTAGGGCTTGAGTAAAAAAAAACCTGCACTTGTTATGAA